ATGTTATCTCAGGAGATTCATCGAAACCCAGATTCTCTCCGTACCTACAGATGTGGACTGTTGTCGTGGGTTGTCCCCTCGTCTGGTTCATCTCTCAACTCGGTTACTCAACTGAGAATCTGTATGGTAACTATGTGAAGTGAAGCTGGGTCTCGAATACTCGCTTCCCAGATTGAGATGGGCCTAGCCTTTATTTCGTTATAAAAGGCGGTTGGAAGGAAATGATGAATTGGCTGAATCAGAAACCGAAAGTGGATTGTGTGAAGTAGACCTCAGCCTACGCTCCAAAAGAGGCCTCTCGATCCGTGCTCAGATTTCGTCTGTACCAGTGACATTTTTGCAGCATCAGAAACGGAAATCGTCATCCAGGAAAAATTCCTCAAAAACACTAAACAACAAAAGGTTGCCCACGGAAATTTTGTTTATTTCTTATGCTTATTTTTCGTGTGTAATTAGAGTTTCTCATATAACTAATTTATTGGTGGTCTCAAAGCTTTACTTATATACGAAAAATAAGTAGCGTAGTCGATTGTTATAGCAAAAATACGTTTACTTCATCGACAATTGTACCAAAGAACGTGATATGGGAAAAGACCTGGCCTTCCTTGGAATTCACATCTTCTTTGTGACCCAAGGTCACTCGTGGTAACGATGCACTGTCACAGTTCGACTCCCGCTGGGGATGTTTATAAGACCGATTCGAGGTCGAAACTGCAGTGCACTCCAACCGGGATGAGAACAACTTTTGGAAATGCAAGGCTATGTGAAATTCAATCGAGATGTCAGCTCTACTCACATCAATGTGGGAAAATTCCATTACCAGTCCTTCATTACACTAAATGAAATAGGGTGAATACAATACATTTCCTATACTTTATAATCTTACTGAAGCATCTCATGATTTGGTTGGTCATTTTACTGCTTCCTTAAAACGAAATGAAAGGTTCTTGTGCGCCCTGATGGTAGACACTGCGTGGAAAGCGCGATCGGCCACTTGGGGGCCGGACGGAGGGGTCAGTATGTCAGGCGTATGTCTCCCGTCGTGGCGTGTGACGGAGCTCAAGTAAAGTCAGCTCCGTTGGGAAGCAGCTAATCCACCCGAAAAGAGATTGATCATTAAAATTGCCCAGCAACGCAGAGCGTGAGCATGCAAGCTCTGCGCCTGAAAGTAAGACAGGAGGGAGCTAATTTCCAGCTCACCACGACAATCCATTACAGCAGACACGCAAATGATATTCAAGACACATTTAACTGCTTCAAGTGGCCACAATTTGCTCCCGACAAGCCGAGAACAACTCTAACTGATATGTGCGTCTATCCCAGAGAAGTGACTATACAACCAAAGTCCATACATTTTCATTTATGATCTCCCAAAGAGCTGTTTATTGACTGTTTTACGTCTTGTTATGCGCTTATATGATCTTCAACTTTTACAAATCACAGAAAAACTCTTCTATTTGATTATACACAAGTATTGCCGTCTTAGTTACGCACATACACACACATGCATACCATAGTTATTTTTATTTACACATGCATGCATATAAAGACTAGCAAATCCCGATATTACGAGTACTGTGATTAGGAATTTTTTTAGAATTGCGAAAAATTGTATTGCTTAGTGTGATAAAATTGTTTTATTTCCTCTTCTGTAGAAAGAGTTTTAATGATGGCGAAAGTTGCCGGTTGATTTCACCGAAAGGCGACAGTCGATTCCCACTGATTTATTGCCGTTCATCCTTAACGCAGCGTTACGGTTCAAGTAGTCCATGGGACATACCCCTCACTTCGGATGAAACGGGGCTAAGCTTTTGTTCTTCATCTGACAGATATCATCCAAGCTGTAAATCAAGCTAGTGAAAGTTTCAGATTAACTCTTAGCCAAGGATACCAACCAACCCTATTATACACACTATAAATAGGCATAACTAAGGACGAAGAAACAAAACATATATATATAGGTATAGAACGATTTAATCAGAAAGAGAATCAACTAAATCATTCTATTTACACCTATATCGACATATTTTCATTTTTACTTTTGAATGTATATAGCATGTAGGATTAAACTAATTTAATATGAGATTTATTCATCCTATTTCGTTTAAGGTGATGAAGGAAACGTCAGCTCAACTCATATCATTGTGGCAAAATTCTAATACCCGTCCTTTATCACATTAAACGAAATAGGGTGAATACATCTCATTACACTGATTTACTGGTAGTCTCGAAACTCTACCCAAACACGATAAATAAACTCATTTAGTATTCTTGACTTAGTTGACTTGAAGCTTATGCAATAATGAGTTCCAGTTCAAGGGAGGATGCCTTGTAGACTGAGTCAACCTAAAGGTTATATTAAGGCTGAGCGGCTGCATAACAGCGGAAATCATCTCTTATCTTTTGGGGAGTCGAAAAAATGAATCTTTTTACACGCTTTAATACGAAATGAAATTATTCAGATACATGTTAATTCAAAAGCTTGATCATATAATGAACCAACATGTACAGTCTATAAGGTTTCCTTACAAAAAGATTTGATCCGCTTATAATTCATTGTATGCATGCATACTTACATACAATCACACATGAAGACACACCTGCACATGTTCATATGTACAGACGCGTAAACACACATACGCACATACACATGAAGCTTTAGTGCCTTTATAAGTAATTTTGCCTCGTTTTCCAAACATACTTGCACTGTCAAGGCGATCGCGTTGAAGGTAGCTCATTCGAAGTATCCTGCCGTAGTAGCCATAATAATATTTAGCGTCGGATCGTGGAAGTGGTACAATCCCAGATTCTTTGTCGCCATTGTCATCGCTACGCTTGGTCTGCAGCTTGCTAACGAGCTGAATCCTGAGATAAGATAGCAACTACAATTCAGGCGAAAAGTCTGGGAAAGTACCAAGTCCGCAGTTTGACGCCAGGAGTCGTCATGAGTGTGATGAAAGAGGACCAGGGACATGGTACGTACATCAATGTCCCCCTGACAACACGACAATGTTGCTAAAGCGTAGTTAAACCGCGTCCAAGCAACGAAAGAAGGCCGCGACACAAATGTAGGCCCCACTATCGTGGTATTAATAGTTATGCCTACCTAATATCTCTGGCATACTTGAATCGGGCAACAATCGGTTCTTATGTCGACATTTCACTTCTTTTTCGAATGCCAGCCATTGTCGCCCGTCAGTTTGACATCTCTTGTCTATTTTGCGCCCTTTTTTCCCGCCACAGCCTGCCTCTGCGGCTATAACGCATTACGCACACACACAAACACGTACATACACACCTCAGAGCAATGGGAAGGACAAAAAGTCTTTGGCATTGGCCAAATTAGTAGGCCCAGAGACGGATGTAGGAAAAGATGCACTCTGTGGTTGAAGAGAATATGGTATATTTTAAATGGAAACGACAAGGACTAGTTAAACAGTTAAAACAGAAAAGTACTTCCAGAAATGGTTGAAAATGGTGAATATAAACAAATACCGAGAGGTAGTTTGGGCATATGCATAAAATACGAAGACGTATGAATAGAAGTTTAAAACAGCAGTGAATAAAACCCTTCGAAGTCTTCAGTTAAAAGCAAAAGTATCATAAGAACCTTCCAAAAGTTTCATTTGGAAAGTGGAGAAAAACAGAGAGATCATGCACAATGGGTTGGCAAACAGCCCATGCCAAGAGCCAAGTATTTGATAAGTGAGGCTCCTGGGCAATGTGAGCAAACACCTCATTTTCGGTAGGAAGAGGTAGATAACTTGGTATCAGCGGTTAGGTAGGTGGATAGATGGGCAATGCCAGTACCTGATGTGGAGAGAATTGCTAAAGACTTCAAGAAGCCTGTACTACAAATCAGACAGTATCGCTACTCATAAAAGATACATCAGTCATGGAGACGAATATTTCACACAAGGAGCAAAACTAGACTAGCATTGATGCGACTTCCGGGACCTGAGCCTACTTGACAACAGACTAGGATAAAAGCGTGATCAAAAATCACTTGGTGACATCCAAGGTCATTGCCTGTAGTATGTTGTTCCATCGAGTCCTACAGCGGTCACAAATACGAGTGCCCAAAGTAGCCTCCTTGGACGAGATTCGGCTCGATCTCAAACTCAATTAAAAAGTGAATTTGTTGCCGGTCCATTGTGGAGGCCTTTTAAGCGGAGTTTACTGCCTTGCATAGCAACGCGCGTTCTGCAGTTGGATAGAACGGTGTCTACACAGGAAGGCAGTAAAGATCCGCTTGCTAGGACTCAAACCAAAACCCTTGCCGGTATCACTATTGCCTAAAGCTGAAAAAGTATGTCTGTAAGAAAAATATTGGTTACAAAGAATGGCAAAACGGAGAGCAAAAGAGGGAGAGAAATGAATTTTGAATGGAGGGTCGCAGCAAACCATGTGATTTACAGATTATGTGAATAACAGTGAAAGGGATAAAGGGAGAAATGTTTCGGCGGTATGACAGTAAAACCGATCACCTTTAAAGCATACACGAAAAGCCCTCTGGCGTTTGGCCAGCAACTTGGTTGAGCGCTCCGTTAATCACAGTTGTAGAGTCCTTCAAGTCCGAGGGCGAAGGAGAAGTTATGATCAAAGTGATGTGTAGCCTGAGGGGCAAGTTAACTCCTTCAGTGTGTGGAAAAGCGGGAGTAGAAGCCGGAGAATGTAACGGCCACGGGATTAAGCGAAAGTGACCAGGCGCCCAAGTTGTCGCAATGCAAAGTGTCATCTGCCGGCAGTTGTCAGATTGAGTGAAACTAGCTTGTAAAAGTGTCCTTCACAGTTAGTCTTAACTGGCCATGAAATGTGGCGGAATGAGAATTTTCTCGAGTCAACCAACTCTATCCTCCGGCATTTTTTGGGTAAAATGAGCCAAGAATGTACAAAAGACGAGAACCAACCATTCACGATTTGGGCTTACAAAGCCGGAAAACACTGACATCTGGGGCTTTGTGTTAGAGGGTCAAACTCCGGGTATTTCGCCAAAAACACTATGTCATTGGCAAAGAAGCTGCCGTTTGCGCCGCCGCATCCAGCTCATCGGAAGCGTCGAGGTTCCTGGAGCACGTCTCAAGAGTATAGGCGGCCGATGCCTCCAAACTGTCCTGTGGAAGCGAAGGAAGCTGATGCAGTCGGTCCAGGGAGGACGGAGACGAGTGAACTTCCGAATTCAGCCGACCTTCTTTGACGGGAATCTCGTGGAACAGTCGCAGCACAAGCATGATAATCGTGGTGCCGAAAAGCAGGTAGACTATGCGGAAAAATAGGAAGAGATGACGATACGAATCGTGTCAATTGTTAACAGTTAGAGCCAGAATGGAGTAGAGGATATCTTTTATTGGTTATCAAAGACCTTCTCTGTGACTCAGTGACAATGTTTGCAATGTGACGGAAGCATCGGACCTCGGAGAATATATTATTATTATTATTATTATTATGTATTATTTAGTTGTTATTCCTATTGTTCTAATCATTTCATGCTTTTTGATTTCGTTTAAATTAAAGGAGGGAAACCTTGCAACTGTGACTGTAGATGTTTGCAATGAAGCACTCTTTGGCACCTTCAACGACCCCGAAGAATTCTTGCTAAGCTTTTACCTGTTCTGCCTTGACAGAAATTGCCAAAGCAGG